CATCAAGAAGATCATACATCCTGACCAAGTCGGATTTATTCCAGGGATGCAAGGATGGTTCAACATACGTAAGTCAATAAATGTAATACACTATATTAACAAAGTCAAGGACAAAAACCATATAATCCTCTCAATAGATGCAGAAAAAACATTTGACAAAATTCAACACCCATTCATGATAAAAACCCTGCAAAAAATTGGAATAGATGGTCTATATCTCAACTTTATAAAGGCTCTCTATGAAAAACCAACAGCCAACATCATATTAAATGGCCAAAAACTAAAAACCTTCACGTTAAAATCAGGAACAAGACAAGGATGCCCACTATCACCACTCCTCTTCGATATAGTTCTGGAAACATTAGCCACAGCAATTAGACAAGAGAAAGAAATTAAAGCAATAAAGATAGGAAAGGAAGAAGTTAAACTGTCATTATTTGCTGACAATATGATACTCTACATTGAAGACCCAAAAAACTCCACCAAAAGACTTCTAGACTTAATTGACAGATTCAGTAGAGTAGCTGGATACAAGGTGAACACCCCAAAATCAATAGCCTTCTTGTACACAAATAATAGGCTCACTGAGAGAGAAATTAGGGAAATAATTCCTTTCACAATAGCATCCAAAAAAATGAAGTATCTATGAATCACTCTAAGAAAAGAAGCAAAAGACCTCTACACTGAAAACTACAGCACTCTGAAAAAAGAGATCGAAGAGGATATAAGAAAATGGAAAGATATCCCCTGCTCCTAGGTAGGAAGAATCAACATAGTGAAAGTGGCCATACTACCAAAACTAATGTACAGATTCAATGCAATGCCAATTAAAATTCCAACACTCTATTTCACAGAGCTAGAAAAAAGAATGCAAAAATTCATTTGGAACCATAAGAGACCTAGAATAGCAAAAGCCATCCTAGGCAACAGACACATGGCAGTGGGTATAACAATTCCCAATTTGAAACTATACTACAAAGCCAATGTGATAAAAACAGCATGGTACTGGCAAAGAAACAGATCTGAGAATCAGTGGAACAGATTGGAAGACACAAAAACAACTCCAGATGTACTCAGCTACCTCATCTTTGACAATGGAGCTTACCATTTTCAGTGGAGGAAAGATAGCCTCTTCAATGAATGGTGTTGGAAAAACTGGATTGCAACCTGCCAAAGATTAAAACTAGATCCTTATCTGTCACCATGCACTAAATTAAAATCCAAGTGGATGAAAGATCTAAATATTAAAACAGAAACACTAAACTTACTGAAAGATAAGTTAGGCAGAACTCTGGAAGACGTTGGCATAGGAAAAGACTTTATGAACAAATCCTCAGTAGCACGGGAACTAGCAGAAAGAATCAACAACTGGGATCTCATCTTACTAAAAAGCTTCTTGAGGCCAGGGATTTAGCTCAGTGGTTCCACTGCCTGCCTTGCAAGCACAAGGACCCGAGTTCAATCCCTTGTACCAAAAAAAAAAAAAAGAGCTTCTGCACTGCAAAAGAAACCATCAACAGAACTAAGAGACAACCTACAATGTGGGAAAAAATTCTTACCAGCTGCTCCTCAGACAAAGGACTATTATCTAGATTATATAGAGAACCAAGACCTGGCATGTAAAGGTGCAAGATCCCAGTAACGAATGTAACTGTACTGTCTACCTAGAATATACCAATAAATTAAATTAAAAAAAAAAGAATTCAAAACAATCAGCCCCCCCAATATAAAGACCCAATTCAAAAATGGGCATCTGAAGTGAACAGACATTTCTCAGACGAAGAAGTAAAAGCAGCAAGTAAATATATGAAAAAATGTTCCACATCACTGGTCATTCGAGAGATGCAGATGAAAACAACACTGAGATTCCACCTCACCCCACAAAGAATGGCTGCTATCAAGAAATCAAACAATAACAAATGTTGGCGGGGTTGTGGAGAGAAAGTAATCTTTCTCCATTGTTGGTGGGAGTGCAGACTGGTGAAACCACTGTGGAAGTCAATATGGAGATACCTCAAAGAGCTGGGACTAGAGGTTCCATTTGACCCAGCCATCTCTCTGCTGGGTATCTTTCCAAAAGAACTAAAAGAATCATATCACAGTGATGTATGTGCACCCATGTTTATAGCAGCACAGTTTGTAATAGCTAAAATTTGGAAACAGCCCATTTGACCATCAGTTGGAGACTGGATAAAGAAGATGTGTTTTTTCTATAAAATGGAATACTATTCAGCCATAAAGAATGAGAAATTAGAGTCATTCATAGGAAAATGGATACATTTTGAGGATATACTCCTAAGTGAAATAAATAAGTCACATATGTAAATACCGAATAGTTTCTCTGGTGTGAAAAACTATAATAGTACACAAGATCCTAATGAGGTAATTAACAATGTGAAATAGGAAGAAAGGGGCTAAAGTTGTAGGGAAAGTGGGAAGAGTAGGGGAAAGGGAATAGGGAAAAGAAAAAATGGGAGAAAATGGAAATAAAGTGTTTGTAAATGAGGAGGGGAGGAGGGGGTGAAGGGAGGGCAGGGACAATGGGAAAAAATGAGAACCAAGACCTGTCATGTGGAGGTACAAGATCCCAACAATGAATGTAACTGTACTGGATACCTAGAATGTACCAGTAAATTCAATTAAAAAAAAAAAACTCTGAATAAACTCAAAGCATAGACCCATTTGACATACTCTAAGGAAATAATAAAGACAGAGAAATTAGGAAATGAATGAAATATATGAGTTTATATAAATGAGACAGAAAACATGGAACTCCACCCATTTCTAAAAGATCATCATTTTAAAAACCAAACGTGACAAAATTTAAGGATTTCATGAACCTGAGTGGTACATATATTATATATCATTACTGCTTCAAATATATCATTAATATTCCATTTCCAGTTTGAAATAAAATGTTTCATTATTTTTTAAAAAGCACTTATCTTTTTAAAAGGGGGCTACAACATAATGTATGATACATTTATACAACAGAAAAATCCAATGCCATCAAAAAGAGCTAAGACACCTCCTTCGGCACTCATTTGGAAAGGTATCTAAGTTAACATGAGCAGCAAGTGCAGAGTGTACGCAGAGCCTGCTACCCACGTGTGTGCATGCTGCTTGCTTGCATGTACCTAGAGGAATCTTCGGCTGTTGGGAGGAGGTCCAGGTAGCTGGAGGACAAAGAGTGAAAGGAAGAATTTTACTTTTTTTTTTTTCAGTACTGGGGACCAAACTCAGGACCTTGCACTTGCAAGGCAGGTGAAGCGCCACTGAGCTAAATCCCCGGCCCAAGAATTTTACTTTCTATACTTCCAAATTTTAATATTTCAAAAGAAATGTCCAGATGTGCTGGAGCACACCTGTAATCCCAGCACTCCGGGAGGCTGAGGCACAAGGCTCAGAGATTCAAGCCCAACCCGGGCAACTTAGCAAGATGTTGTGTCAAAATTTAAAAGGAGAGGGTAGCTGGGGATGAACCACCAAGGAGAGGGTGGGCGGGGGAGAGGAGGAGAGAGAGAGAGAAGGGAGGGAGGGAGGGTGAGGGGCATGGGAGTGGGGAAGGGAGGAAGGAAGGCAGCAAATAATTGTGAACAGTGCCTTCTCACAGTTGTAGAATGAGCACTTGGTAAGTACTCACAGTGGACAGGTATATGTGAGCCCACCAATTCCTCACATTCAGTCCAAGATGCAAGCACAGTGTAAGGCCCATTTGACAGATGAGGAAACTAAGACACAGGGAGCCCCCACCACACAAAGCTGGGCACCCAGGATCCCAAAGCCAGGAAGTGGTAGAGACGGTTCCGGGCCCAGGGCCCTTCAGGTCCCGCGTGGTGTGTGACGTCCTCAGTTTCCTTTTCCTGGGCCACTCTGAACCCAGTAGAACCATTCGCTGTTGCACACGGCCTGTACACGCAGAGGGCTGCAAATGCTGAGACAAGGGGCTTCTTATTTTCCCAGCGGTCTCATAATGGAGGCCCAGAGAGCTTGTGAAAAGAAGAACCAGTCCTCCTCCCCCTCGGAGTTTTGTCCGCACTGTGGTGCAAAATCAGTCACCTTAGGCCCCCTGGAAGAGACAGAAAGCACACGTCAAGGCTGAGAAAGACTCCAGGTGGTGCAGGAGCCGAGCCATTGAAGACAAGCGTCCTGACCTCCTCGGTCTCTGGAGTCGCCTCGCCTTCTCGCCGCCCATCTCTGAGCGCAGCCCTCTGGGGTGGCGTTGAGAAGGTGCTCAGTGTCTACACAGCTGGTGTGCCAGTGTGTTCGTGCTGGTATGGGAGGAAGCAGTAAGTGACAGAGGCAGCAGAATGAAAGTAAAATAACAAATGTGCTCATCGATAAGGGTCGATTGCGCATAAATCATGCCTGGATTGACGACGCACTGGGTTACCACTCCCCCTTTTATAGGGTTTCACAGCCTTGGCTTTGTTTGCGTGGTTACATTTCATTCTCACAGTTCAAATCAGTCACAGGATAGTTAATCTTTTCAACCCAGACATAACAGTTCTTTGCAGTTGGGGAGTTTTCCTTTAAGATTCGCCCAGTTATCTATTCTAGTCCATAGGAAAGGGGGTGTTCAAGGTCAGGGGAGCGAATGTTGGCAGTGGTCCTTTTTATCTTGACACTGTTGCGATCAGGTGGACCTTAATGTGCCCTGGTAGCTCAGGGTAAAGCCAAATGCCTCATTCAGCAATTAGTGCCTTCCCTGCCTATTAGTTCTGAGCTAAACAAAACAGACTGCCGTTAGAGACAGCAGAAGCAACTTTACATTGTAACACTTTGTAGGTTTTTGCTATTTATAAAAGTTTTCCCTAACAACGTGAATGTGAGGCGGTAAAGACCCAGCCCTTCATCCTCCCGGTCTCCCTCTGCCGCCTCCTCTTCTGGCCACCTCCCTTGTCGCCTGCCAACTCTAGGCACATTTTCCAGATGCCTTTTGTATTCCATGGTGGGAAAGTCCTGGGGCATTGTTTAACCTGCACTTTTTCCTTTCTCAGTGACCTGTGGTGCTTCCTTCCAGCGTTGGCGGTCTAGACTGAGAGAAATACAGTTGGCCAAAGGACAGGCAGGCAAGTTCAATTCTGACCACAGTTGCTCAGCTTGATTTAGATTCTACGCTGGGCTTTTGGATGGCTCATTCACTCAGATATTCATAATGACTTTGCTTTTTGTTTTCTGGGGTTTTTTTTGTTTTGTTTTGTTTTTTGTCTGTTTTGTTTTATGAGACAGGATCTCACTATATAGTTCAGGCTGGTCTTGAACTTACTAGGTAGCCCAGGCTGGCCTGGAACTTGCAGTGATCCTCCTCAGCCTCCCCAGTGTGGAGGTTATGGGTGTGTGTCACCGTACCCAACCATAGTGGCTTTTTAAACCAGCAGCTATATAGCCCTTGTCACATGCCCCACACTGAACACGTATTATCTTTCCTTCAGTCTGAAAGATAATTGTCCTTGCTTCCAGAGAACAGAAAGGAAGGGTGAGAGATGAAGTCATCAGGCCACTTAGTCTCCCCTTCCCTCCGAATGAGTGGTCCCTCTGCATTTGCTTGGGTAGCAGGCACACATGGGCCTCGTGAGTGCTCCAGACGGGCTGCTCCACATGGGCACCCAGTCAGTTCACCGGCCATCCTGTGGAGCCCACAGAGCCCAGGGTGGGGACAGAGAGCAGTGCAGTAGCTTTGCACACCTTCACAGGCTGCACCCGCTGCAGGCTGGAGAAAATCGATGTCAGGACCAGAAGGGACCCAGGAAGAGGAAGCAGGGGGCAACAGAGCTGCGCCTGCCCCTGAGGGATCTTCCTTAGGGGAGAGGCAGTTCCGCCTCTGTGTGCTGAGCCACAGGCCTCTTGCCTGGACAGCGCCACATGGATGGCTCCCAGCCACAGGTGTCCCACCATCCTAGAAACAGCCTCCAGAGCAGCGGTGACACTGGGGATTTTTCTCACATTCGGTACATTTGGTTCTTTACTTTCTTATGCAACAGGTGTGAGACATTCAGAATGGCAGTTCAGCCTCATCCTGGCAGGAAGTGCTTTCAGCTGTTATCATACCTGTAGCCAAAAGATCCCGATTTCTGGGGAAGTCTTTGAAGAGACACAAATATTTCTTTCTCAAGATGTTTACTGGAGAGTTAAGTGGTTCCAAGCTAAAGACCCCACTAAAAGGAAATATATTAAGTATGGCACTGTACCTATTGATAATGAAATACTTGAAATCATTAAAAAAGAATTTTAAGACAACTAAGTGACATGAAAAAGTGCTCATGACATAAGGTTGAATAAAAACACAAGGTTATAAAGCATACATGGTTTGAGCCAATGTCGCTAAGTGTATTAACTAAGTTATAGGTAAAGAAAAATCTGCAAAGTATAATAAAATATTCACATTAGCTCACTCTAGATGTTTTGAGCTTTTCAAAATTTTTCCCAAAAAGTTTATAGTGAAAAATGTATTACTTTTACATTCAGAGAGGAAAACGATATCCTTAAAAAAATGTTCCCCTCAATATTGTGCCTAACCTGTGGAAGGACGTTAACTTTGCAAGTCGCGGGGCCGTTCCCCGAGTGACGGAGAATTTCCCAGAGAGCTTCTCGGAGAGCAGGCCTTGCTTCCTAGATGACAGCGGCGGGAGCAGATGCCTGTCTGACCTGCTAGATGGGGCCCTTTTCGCACCAAGTCACCTGCTGCAGGACGAGGAGAAATGAGCATCGGTGTCCTTCGCAGATAGGAAAACTTCACGCAATTCCTGGACTCACCAGCAAATTTACTCTGGACTCGCCCACAAGTGAGAGAAAAAACCTGACAGATGCAGATGTAAATGTGTTGTGCCTTGAAAAGCTAGAGGTGACACAACTGATGAAACTCTTCAGAGAAAGCGGGAAAAGAAGTGGACGGGGTAGGTTTGTTGATTGCCTCATCGATATCAGCTGAAAGTAAAAAACTGCCATTTAAAGTCAATAGATGAAGGAGAGTACAGTCATCCCTCAGTGGTCACGGCGAACTGTTCAGGACCCCCGGAGAGACCCAAATTCTGGAAGCTGCAGCCCTGAGAGAAAACACTGTGGTGCTTGTGTGCCACAGACACTGCCCTCCTGGCACTTCTCTCTCCACGTTACTGGTAACACTCGAGCCATGTCCGTGCCAAGGAAGTGCTTGTCACGCTGCACCACTGAGGGGAAAACGACCAGGAAAACACTGAGCACGTTCAGCACAGATGCGGCTCTGGTCCGCGGGTGGTTAAGCCCACTGATGCAGGAGCCAGGGGCAACGGAGCACAGCATAGGAGGTGGACCGTGAAGAGGAGCATGGGAAATGAATCCCCCCAAAACACAGAACACTAAAATTCATGGGGCTGCTGCTTACCTTAGACACATTGGTGTTTTGGTTTTGTTGTTTTTTTTTTGAGACAGGGTATCACTATGTAGTTGAGACTGACCTGGAACTCACGATGTAGCTCAGACTGGTCTTGAACTCATAGCAATCCTCCTGCCTCAGCCTCCCAAGTGCTGGGATTACAGGCATGAGCCATCACGCCCAGATGTTTTGTTTTGTTTTTTGTGGTACCAGGGGATCAAACTCAAGACCTTGTGCTTGCAAGGCAAGTACGGTGCTACTGAGCTAAATCCCGGCCCCCTTAGGCACATTTTATAGTATATAAATTATCTGAGAAATGCTGTTGAACAAACAAACTACTTTTTTGAGAAGCTTTTTCAAAACTATGAAAACATAAAATATAAAGTAAAAGAACACAATAGAAATAAAAGGAAACATCTTTAACTTTCCTGTTAAGAAAAACTTTCAGGAGGAGGCGGTGAAGGGAGGGCAGGAACAAGGGGAAAAATGAGAATCAAGACCTATTATGTAAAGGTACAGAATCCCAATGATGAATGTAACTGTATTTGTATACCTAGATTGTACCAATAACCTCAATAAAAAAAGAAAAAAAGAAAAAGAAAAACTTTCAGACTGGCTCACAAAGCAAATCTCAAACCAGGCATGGTGGCACAAGTTTGTAATTTCAGCACTCGGGAGGCTGAGGCAGGAGAATCACCACAAGTTCAAGAACAACCTGGGCTACAGAGTGAGTTCAAGGCCAGCCTGAACTACATAGGGAGACCCTGCCTCAAGAAACCAACAAAACAAACCAAACAAAAACAGTGCTATGCTACTTGTAAAAGACACACCTAAAAAGGTAATTGAATAAACAGATGGACAAGGTTTCTCCCTTAAACTCAACTTTGTTTAAATAATCTTCACCTAAACCGACTCAAGAAATGAAAGTCTCGTAAATAGTGACTAATATCTATACTTTGTTAATGTGTATTGTTTAAATTTATATTTTGTGACAGTGCCTTTGTACATGCTATCTCAGTGAAACCTCCCTGCAATTTGCTGACATGGGCACTGCCTTTGCTGTTATGATTGAGAAGCACACCGGAGAAAGGAAGGTGACTCGTGACTTCCTCAGGATGACTTGTCCACTTCGTGACTGAACTTACATTTCTGCTGGAACGTTTCCTCATTAATAACCCAAGAGAACGGGTCGAAGGTAGGCCTGTGAGATCATTTTCTCTCTTCATAATAAAAATCGCTGCCAGGATGGGCGTGGTGGCACATGCCTCTCGTCACAGCACTCAGGAGGCTGAGGCAGGACTGTTCAAGGCCAGCCTGGGCTACATAGTGAGACCCTGTCTCAAAAAAAAAGCTGCCAATTGTGGACACTTCTCTGTTCTGTGGAACTCCTAGAACTAGGTATTTTACCTATTATTCCCCGAATTCTCAACACCATCTTCAGGTATCCTTACCTGCAGTTTTACATTTGAGGAAAGTGAAGCTCAGAAGTCAAGCAACTTGTCCAGTCTCACACAAAATGAGCAAAAAACCCGAGACCCCATTCAGTTACGTCAGCCTCTAAAATCAGAGGGATGTCCAGTGTGTCACAGCAGTGAAGCCAGCACAGGTCAGGACAGGGAGGGGACAAAATTTAAACTTAACCATCAACCCTGGAACATTTTTAATGCTTTTGAGAAGGCGGATAGAACTCGAGCTGGCCATATGGGCCTATGACCCGTGCAGTCACCAGAAGCAGCCTGTATTTCACCAAGTCCCAGCTGTCACCATCCCAGAATTCTTAATCCTTTAGGCTCTGAGGTTGTGTTCACGAGCTAAGCCTGATGGGCCCCTGGTGCATGCACATGAACTAATGTGCCTGTCACCCCCCTCCCTCACCCCGCCCACACACAACGGGCTCCCCACGTCCCTCCGCACAGAGCCCCCGGAACCCGTGGTGCAGGACAAGACTGAGGACGAGGTGAGGGTGTGACACCGGCCTGGGTCAGCCGGAGGCCCTGCTTCCTTTAACAACTAGAACTTTCTTCCAGGATAGAGAAGATAATGATGTTTACGAAACACACCCCGCCAAGGAATCCCATCACCTCTTTCTGACTGCTGTTAAATCCTGGGTCAGGCAATGATGTCTCCTGAAAATGATAACAGAAGGAAAGAGAAAGAGAAGCCACCTCTCATTCCTTCTCCTTTCAGACCTCACTGCACTCAGGAAGCCAAGGCCCAGGGTGCCAGTGGATCTGGATGTATGGGTGGCTTTTCACAGAGAACTTGCTTCCAGCCAGCCCTCAAAGCACATGGGGATTTTGCAAGAGCATAGTTGTGTGTTAAAAAACAAAAATGTGTTTTTATGAATGTTCTTTATAATTTTCATGATTGAGGGGCTGTGTAATCGCTTGGGAGAAACACGTACAGTGAACCTTGTGATAAAATAATGCCTCCTATCAACATTACTCATTTACAGCCTCATTTCTGCTGAACCAGCTTTCTTCACCACCCTCCTGGCCGGCAGATCCACTCTTCAGGGCAGCTGATCCAGCCCTGTCTGTGACACTTTGTACCTTGTCATGTGGATACTGCTCACCTGTGCTTTCTTTTCAGAGAAGTCAGCGTACACCACCATTGTCTGAGCAGACAGTAGAGAATGATACTGTGTACAGTAGGCCTTTATCAGAACTTATAAGATTTAATATGAAAAATAGGTTCTGCTTTTGAAACATAAAACAC